AGTAGCGTGACTTAGCTATTCTAAGCACTGGTGCATCCGCCCTTGTACTCCCGACAAGATAGCTGCGTGCCACACGAATGTTTTTCAATATCTTGCCGATCTTGCCCACAGGAGCGCGGCATGAACACATTCGTGTTCCGTCCGCACTGCGGCGAGGCCGGCGCCGTCAACCACATGGTCTGCGCCTTCATGATGGCTGAGTCCATCACCACGGCCTGGCGCTCCGCAAGGTGAGCACGTCATATAGGCGTCGTTGGGCTCTGAGCTGCCTATGTCTCAACCTCAAACCAGACAAGTGTTTCTGAAAGTGAGCAATACCTCCACGTGTTGGTTTCGGATTATATTGATCTTTTTTTCTTCCGCTGGTATACAACCATTTTCGGTCACATGCTGATCATCCGGCCCTGTCAATGTCTACTACTGAACTGCCCATGATCGGTCACGTACTGAGCTGTCCGTATACACTCAGGTACCGGTGCTCCAGTATCTGTACTACCTGGCAGAGATCGGTCTGGCCATGTCGCCGCTCAGCAACAACTCTCTGTTCCTGAACTACCACCGTAACCCGCTACCCGAGTACCTGGCGCGAGGTCTGAACGTCAGCCTGTCCACCGACGACCCGCTGCAGTTTCACTTCACCAAGGAGCCGCTTATGGAGGAGTTCAGCATCGCCGCCCAGGTCAGAGCACTGACGCCCACATTCGAGCGATTCACCACGTAGAGTGTAGAATGTAGGTGATTCTTACACAGGGATCGCGCATCCCACGCATTGCTTGAAATGAGAGGCGTTAACGGCCACGTTTGCGGAGCCCGTAGAGATGTGGAATGCTCACGATAACGACGCCGGCTTTTGGATCACTCGACCACATCGCCAGATCTCTGACTCCTCTGACATCACCCTCCGGCCGGCAGGTGTGGAAGCTGAGCTCGACCGACATGTCCGAGCTGTGCCGCAACTCGGTGCTCCAGTCGGGCTTCCCGCACGAGACCAAGCAGCACTGGCTGGGCCCAACTACACACGCGAGGGTGTGGCCGGAACGACGTGCGCACCAACCTGCCCGACATCCGGGTGTCGTACCGCTACGAGACGCTGCTCGAGGAGCTGGCCACCGTGTTTCAGGAGGTGACGCCCGACCCGGTGGAGGAGCAGACGCAGCCGCGGCCTGCCGCCGAGCCGGCCGTGCAGCGCTGAGCAGGACAGTCGCCGGTGGAGCCGATAGGCAGCCGCAGTCAGCAGCCGCTGGAAGGCGGGTATCGTGTCTCTACGGTCGCAGCAGACCGAGCTCTGAGAGTCGCCGAATCCGATAACCAGCCGAGACCGTAGCGTGAAGGCTACTGAAGGAGAGCCAAGTCGCACGGCACGCTAGAATATGCCTTGTTGGTGCTACGGGACGGTACCTAGTGCTTACATTATACGACCGTCCCACTACGACTGTGCTGTAGTCCATAGCCCGCCCTTCCTGCGGAAGGCAACTAGTCAATCATGCAAGTAACGGACACTCGACGCCATGCTGTAATTGTTTGGATTGTAGCTATGTAGCGCCCTTCCACGGATCGAACCTGCAAGTGATGACAATATTCAGTCACGTTTTGTACCGCGATGACGGATTGCAATGGAGTTACCCATATATGCTAAAAAGCGGCAATCGTACTGAAAGAGGCAAGAAACACGGACAAACTCGAACATGCATACGCAAAACTATAAATAAGGGTACTACTCGCATGCAGATGTACGAATACAAAGGTCTGAACCGACTCAGATGTTATGTAATAACAGCTGCCGAATAGCTGCCTCACGAACTACATGTCTCAACGTCCGTCCGTGTCCAGAGTTACACTCAGCCCATCCCCACGGTTTTAAAGTGTCCCGATCGATAGGCTATCCAGCCACTGAAAACGTCACCCCAGAGGTGGTCCCTGCCGGGTATGTCCTCCATCAGTGTCTTGAAAGGTGAGTGTTCGTCACATGGGACAGGGTAATCACAACGGGGATAAGGATGGAAGGAAAGAAGGGACCTGGTGGATCTTGCCTACAAAGAATCGTCACACGACGATAGTGGCTGTCTGCTCGAGAATCAGGATCTTTAAAAATGCACGGCAAAGTTCATCGCAGCTTAGTAACAAACGAAAATATTTTGGTGGCATATATTTAATTCCTTCATTATTGATACACTAATATTTCATGATATTGCGCATAATATCTAAAATATCAAATGCAGAATGGTGCTAACAGATGCGACCCAAATTGATAAGCTCTAGGCGCCGTTCCCAATGAGCATGCAATTGATCCATCATTTCGATCAAACGTCAATCAACAAGGCACATCGCTTCTGGGGGAGGCAGCGTTTAGCGTGGAATTAGTGCTACCCGCACGACTATCATGGAATGAACGCTAAATGACAAGCGATTACATGAGCTATCAAAGACTCAAACGTATATAAGAAGGGTGAATCCGTACTGCCAGCTTGTGTTTTCCACAAGACATGTACCGGATTGGGCG